CGATTTGCTTCAAATTTTGATTGGGAAACTTGCAGTAAACCCACGGGAATGTTCTTAATCTGGTTTAAAAATTCTAATTTTAGTGGATTAAGTTTAGCAGGAGAAGTGTATACAGGTTTCCAGGTACAGTTCCAATTCCAAAGCTAGCAATCTATAAAGTAATAGCTTGGGAACTCAGCTTTGACTGGAGTCAACACACTCAACATAGAAATAAATAAACATGATCTTTTAAAACTTAGTCCAATCTCAAGGCCAATGTAAGAAGAGGAATAACTACCAAAAAAACATAATCCGTTTTCAAATACTATAACAAATTATAAAAAAACATAATCCGTTTTCAAATACAGGGGTACAGGGTTACCCAAAAAGCGACTTTCATAGCGACCAAAACCCCTTTGAATTTGACGATCTGAAGGTTGAATTTAGCCTTTAATAATGGCTTACAAGATAAATTTGGCAAAAAATAACAAGCTTATACCTAAAAATCTTGATTGAAAGAAAAAGGCATGGGCTAATTTTACAAAGTTTCATCCCGTATATATTTACTTATATATATATATCAGAGATTTGAAGATGTATACATGATGACAATCTTACTGAATGGAGCGAGAGCTAGAGATGGGCATTGTTTTTGTGAACAAACGAATTTTTTTAGAATAAACCACGTTTTTTGTGAACAATGGTCTCGTTCAGATAAAAACAAAGAGTAGATGAACCACTTTGATCGTTCAGAGAAATGAAAAGACGCTTGTTGTATAACAATAAACAAAAAACATAAACAAAATTTTTAAATCGTTTGTATGAACTTGATCAGAACTGATCGGTTTTTCTGAACGAACTATCCTTTTTCTAAGCAGATTGTTTATTGAAATAACGATTATGCAGAACGTACGACTTTACAGAACTATCTCCCATCTCTAGAGCTACAGAAGAAACTAGTTAAAATCATCACGGAGTTCGACAAGGCGAGGTTGTGTGACGATTATTATTCGTTTCAGCTCTCAGCTGCCTAAAGAACTTTCGGAACGTATTAAACACAAATTTATAGTTTATTTTTGTATAAAAAGAAGATATTGTAAAAGAAAGAGCATTTTGAAAAGGGCGTTACGTAGTTTAGGGCGAGGCTAGAGGGTGAGAGAATAAATTGCGTGAGTGAACATGAAGTAGTAGGGTTCAAGGGGTTCAGCCCAATATTGCAGAGAAGGTCTGGAAAAACTGGAAAGGGGGTGGGAAAGAAGAAAAAGTAGGAGGGAGTCGGTTACAACACGCAAATATTGTTACATATATTATTCTACAATTCATGAGAATTATACAAGTTTGAGGGCATTGAGCTTTAAAATACTAAATACATATACAATAAGAGTGCACATTTCCTCTGGAATCATTTGACAGAAAATTGATTTATAATGCATGGGAGTTATTTAGAAAACTAAAACATAAATTTAAAAAAATCTCAAATTGCTGATGTTGCAACTTGCAAATGTGTAGTGATGATAAAAAAATTAAGAAACAAAATCAATGATAAAGTGAAAATAAAATTTAAAAAAATAAAAATTTTAATGCAAATTGCCTCCGAAAATAGTTTTAGGAAAAAAACAACAGAATCCTTAATCAAAGTACAACACATACCACTAATTTGTAATTTTCATGCATTTAGAATTTATTCGAATATTTTTAGTATTTTCTTCAAAATAATAACATTCACTATATTTAAACACATATATGGACAAAAAGAAGAAAACCATAGTTTGAGTATATTTTGTGAAAAGTGGAAACTGGAATCAGGATCAGGAATCAGGGTCAGTATCAGGAAAAGGTTTTTTTTTAAATGAGGATACTGATAGACAAATCATAATTTTGTAAAAGCGGAAAAAGGTAAAAATATAAAAAAACGGATTTTTAAAAAGATCGAGGAAACAGACCAACAAATTATATTTCAAAGTTTTTGTAAAAAGCAGAAACGGATGAAAATGTGGAAACAGATAAAAAAATGATCAACAAATTATGATACTTTTTAGTTTTCTCATTCAAGTTTTCTGATTATGCTTAATTTTTCATTTTATTATTGAAAATATTTAGATTGCACAATGAACTATAAAAACAGTTTTTATGTAAATACAAATTTTTCATTACGCTAATTTACAATGGAGATAAGGAGTATTAAGTAAATATAAAGTTTATATGGACTTTCTGATCAGTGATCAGTGTACACTTTTACAATAATTTTGTACTCTTTGACCTCTTTAGGAATGTTGCATCATGGAAAGACCCAGGAAGAAAGTATTTAAAAGAAAGCTAAATTTTAAGAGGGATGTAATAAACGTCTAGAGTTTAGCCAACGTGGTTATAGTGTATAGAGTGATAATGTACGCTATAAATCCTTCACTAATTGTATAGGCCATCAACTATACCGAGAGCGTACTGCATATTTGTTTATTATAAGGAGATTGTACAGTACAGCTAACTGAGAACACAGGTAGAGAACTATCGTCACCCCTGAGTTCAGGGGCGTACGAGAGCTTTTTTGTAGGGGGAGCACAATTTTTTGTGCCCCCCCCCCATAAAAATTCCGTTTCTGAAAAAAATATTGATACCTTTTTTAACTACAGGGTGTCCCACGAAACATGACAATAGCAAGACGAATTGAAAGTCGTCTTTGGTATTTGAATTTATTTGTGACATTTAGTCTTCTATCTACTTTAACATGTATGNGCTTTTATTTAACAAAATTGAAATCTGAACCAAACTCTTTATATCTCCGGTAATATTGAAAGCACAAAAAACGCAGACCACTTTTTGGAAATGCCAAGGCTAGGAGAATTATGTGATAATTGTCGTCTTGCTATTGTCATTTTTCGTGGGACACCCTGTATTTTGAAATAAAAGGCATCTACCGACCAAATAGTATACTAGAGAAAAAGTTTTTGAATGACGAGATGCGGAGCCTTTTTTGTTTTGTTTATTCGACGTTTGTGAACGACACATTTCGTTCAGGGGTTTTTACAATCATTCCAAAAATATTTCATTTTGTTCTTTCTCAAAATTATTGTTAATTTTCCATCTATTACGTTCGTTTTCTCATTGAAATAATCAGTAAAAACAATCGTTTTTCAAAAAAATCCTTCGTCTCAGTAAACAGATCATCGTTACCTCAAAATGTTTCGGAAAACTCATTCGTTTATTCATTGTTTATTCAAGTTTGTTCAGACAAAAGAGTTCTATGTTTTTTCGTTTCAATTCACGGAATGATTCAAGTAGTTTATCCATTGTTTATACATCGTTCTTTTTTTTCAATTTTTTTTTGTTGATTCGTTGCAACTATTCACGTGTCCTTGAAGTTATGTCTGTTTTTAATCGTTGTAATTATTCATAGGTAACAAATTGTATGCAATAAAAGTTTATATGATCGAATTTTGGATTACACACGGAGGACAAATGATTACAGAGTTGACAGTAAAAGAGTGGTCCTTAGCTTCTAATTAACATAAAATGGATTTTTCAGAAGTTTGAACAATGTGAGTGTTAATCATAATGCCTCAGTATCCTCATGTCATGGCAAACTAAATATACATTTCGACCGAAAATTTACAATTTATTGCTTCAATTTTAGATAGATAAATTTAAAATTACCTCTTCTACATTTTCCTTACACCATAATCTTTAACATATGTTCCATTCACCATCCTCTTTTACACGTTCCTTACACCATAATCTTTAACATATGTTCCATTCACCATCCTCTTCTACATGTTCCTTACACCATAATCATTAACATATGTTTCATTCACCATCCTCTTCTACATGGTCCCAACACTATAATCTTTAACATATGTTTCATTCACCAGACTCTTCTACATGTTCCTAACACCATAATCTTTAACATGTTCCATTCACCATCCTTTTAATACATGTTCCTTACACCATAATCTTTAACATGTGTTCCATTCACCATTCTCTTCATACATGTTTCTAACACCATAATCGTTAACATGTTCCGTTCACCATCCTCTTCTACATGTTCCTTACACCATAATCTTTAACATGTTCCATTCACCATCCTCTTCTAAATGTTCCTTTCACCATAATCTTTAACATGTGCTCCATTCACCATCCTCTTCTATAATGTTCATAACACCACAATCTTTAACATATGTTCCATTCACCATCCTATTCTACATGTTCCTTACACCATAATCTTTAACATGTTTCCTACACCATGCTCTTCTACATGTTCCTTACACCATAATCTTTAACATATGTTCCATTCACCATCCTCTTCTACATGTTCCTTACACCATCATCTTCTACATATGTCATACACCATTATCTTCTACATATCCCTTACACCATAATCTGCTTCAAGTTCCTCATTCCATAATTTTCTACATTATCTTCTCCATGTTCCTCACACTATAATCTTCATGTTCCTTTCTCCATAATCTTCTCCACATCCAGTGTTGTGTTCTATTATAACATAGTTTAGTTTCCAATTTCTCGATTAATGAAGTCAATTTTATAGTGTTTAAATCCTTAATAATGAAATATTCAAATTCGTGCATTTTTATACGTGCTAAACTGTAAAGATTTTTTAAAGGATTTGAGTATTTGCCACAAACTCAAATTTTGTAATCCCTATATCTTTACAACCTGATTGTGCAAACCTTTGATATTTCAAACTTGGATTATTTATCTAACAGAATCCATAGTTTGAAATATCTAAGGTCTACGACATTGGATTGCTAAGATAAAGGAATTTCAAAACAGAGTTTGTGACAAAGACTAAATTTCTTTTGATGAAAATTTAAAGTTTCTGAAGACTTGTAGCAAATATAGTTGATCGTGTCCTAGTTGATACATTGAACGATTAATTGCTAGTGTCCTTTTCGTTGACATTGATAGCTAACGAGATCGCGCCCATTGGTAGTGGCATTGATAAGTCAGGGGATTGAAGCCGTGTTGATCCTGTCCTAGTTGAGACATTGATCGATTAATTGCTAGTGTCCTTGGTCCTCGTTGACATCGATAGCTAACAAGATTGCACCCAGTGGTAGTGGCGTTGATAGTTCTCGGGATTGTAGCCATGTGGATCCTTTCCTGGTTGAGGCAATGATCGATCAACTGCTAGTGTCCTTGTTGAAATCGAAACATAGATAGCTAACAATATCGCGCCCAATGGTGGTGGCGTTAATAGTTCACGAGATTGTAGCCGTGTGTTGACATTGATAGTCAAGAGAATCTGAGTTGTACCTGGATAGATACGTGCTAGAGAAACTGTTATGGATTAGGGCATTTACTGCAGAGTAACAATTCTTCTAAGCCTATCCTTCTAATGTTTAGAATATTACTCAATTACCTGATAAATAGTGTTATTTTTCCACGGGCAGTTATTAAAACCTACCTTAAATCTGTGCAACCTGATAGTGTATAAACCTTTGATATTTCCACCTTAAACTATTTAGTATACTAGAGTTTATAGTTTAAAATATTAATGGTCTAACAAATCCGGTTGTAAATTAGAGTTTGTGGCAAAAAATGATCGAATATGTCCAACCATATTTACGACTTAAACTGCCAACTCAGTAATCCTGAATGCTCTTTTGTTAATTTATTTGTGCCGGAGGTTTCAGGAGATAAGGGCAAAGTACCGGGAATAATTGTAGTAGTGCAAACACAGGCATATTGTGAAGAAGAAAAGTTCAAAAATCAAGAACTTGTTTTTTGACAACATCTGAATGGTAATTTCTTTTGTCTGAACGTTTTTATCTTCACAAGCACAATTGAAATTAACTTTTAAGAAACTGATAACTTGTCACAATTTTTGATATTTCAATTCTTATTTATTTGCAACCAGATGGTGTAAACTTTAGATATTCCAAGCTTTAACGTTTTTCTAAATAAGTTTACAATATGAAATATCAAAGATCTACAACAACAGGTTGCAAAGATATATTAGGATTAGAAAAATGGAGTGTGCGGAGAGTTACTAGTTCCTTTATATTATCTTGGTATATAAAGGATTTGAGTATTTGCCACAAACTCGGAACTAATCTCTGTACCTTTGCAAAGCAATGTCGTAGACCTTAGGTATTTCAAAATGTGAATTCTGTTAAAATAATTTAAGTTTTAAATATAAAAGGTTTAAACTATCAGGTTTCAAAGATATAGGATTTATAGAGTTTGAGTTTGTAGCAAAGACTCGATTCCTTTACCTTGTCACATGATCCCAAGAAAGATTTGTGATTGGTTGAAATTGGAAAATTTTGCCTGAAAAAAAAAATATTTTTAAAAAGTTTTAGATTTACAATTACAAAGAAAAAATGGCGGCTTGAAAAACAATGTTTAAACAAAAAGATTGTTACTACAAAAAATATTGTGTGGGACTTCACATGACCCCAGGGAAGGTTATTGGAACATCTAAATTAAAGAGAAAAGTTCCTGTGACGTGAAACAGCATTTTTGCAAAATGCCCTAATTTGAAAATTAAAATCCGCCAAAATTTGAAAATGATTAAAAATAGCCGACTTTTAGAGCAACAACAGTTCAAATCTAAAATCATTATCAGGAAAGAATATGCAAAACACCCTAAACGCCTAGTTTAATAAATTCGATAATGTATTGTACTTAGCCTTTGATTGTTTAAAACTATTTGCTGTCTTCAAGTTAAATAGTAAATCAAATATTGCCAACATAAAAAGATAAGATTTAAGATTTTTTATTTTAATATTTTTACTGTTTTTAATCCACAAAATGAGAATAAATGCATGGCATCCACAGCTTTTAAGAGCATTTAAATGTACCACATTATTTGGAACATTTTTTTCATGCATCAATTGTTTATGAAAAATCAAAAGTACATTTTTTGAAAACAAAGAATGCAGACATTTTTCAGAAAAACGTCATGTTTCAGATGAAGGAACTGAGTTCTTGCCAAAGCTCAAATTTTCTAATCCTTGAACCTAATGGTCTAAACCTTTGAAATCTAAAAATAAGACTTTTTGATCCAACAGAATTCAGAGTTTAAAGTATCAAAGGTATACATATAGATAGGGAATTGAATTTATGAGTTTTTGGCAAGAACTCAGTTCATTCAGTCATTTTTGATTTTCTAAGGTGAAACATGACTAATAACTTTTATTTAATTTTAATATTCCTTTATCTCAGGGTTACATATTCATTATCAACTTTTATTAAACACCTTAATCACAAAGTTTCAAATTCCAACTGTTATTTAATAATGCGCTTTAACCTGTTTATTTTTCAGGTTTCAGTGGTAAAAAAATATAAAAATTCAGTGTCAGGAGACTTTTAGTTATCACAATGAGCTTCAAACAGTCTAAGTTTGATGAAAAAGAAATAGAGTTCCAAGCTGTAGCAAAGTCAAAAGATGAACCTAAAAAGCCACCAGATGTTCCTCCGGTCGGTGTGTTGGAGATATTTAGATTCTGTGATGGATTTGATAAGCTCCTCATATTCATTGGACTTGTCTCAGCCATTGGGGCGGGGGTTGCTTTCCCCTTCATGTTCTTTATGTTTGGTACAATGACTCAGTATTTCACTGATTACATATCCCCTTTACAAATTCCTGGTTTAACAGATGAAATGAAGGTGGAAATCTTGTGGAAGGGAATTATGGAATTTGTTTGGAAGTTGTGTGCCTTAGGTGGAGGTCTTTGGTTATCCCATTATTTTTTTGTCACTTCTTTAAATTATGCGGCTGAAAGACAGGTCCTTAGAATGAGACAGTTATTTTTTGCTGCTGTTTTGAAGCAGGATATTGCATGGTATGATACAAACACTACAACAGACTTTGCAAGCACAATGTCAGAAGATTTAAACAAGATCCAGGAAGGTCTAGGAGAGAAAATTGGTATGTTTTTCCGTTTCTTTGTCACCTTTCTTGTGGCCTTTGGAATATCATTTTATCAGAATTGGCTGCTGTCTGCCGTTCTCTGTGCAGTGGTGCCATTGCTAATCATTTTGGGAGGAGTATTTGGAATGATTATAACATCATTTTCTAAAAATGAGCTTAGTGTTTACAGCAAAGCTGGCGAGATGGCAGAAGAAGTTCTCTCCTCTATCAGGACTGTTATTGCCTTTGGAGGCGAAGAAATAGAAGTTGAAAGATACAGTACAGAAATAAAGGTTGCTCAAAGAAGTGGAATGATCAAAGGATTCCTTGTGTCACTAACTATGGGTCTAATGTTTGGACTAATGTATGGTATTTATGGTTTTGGATTCTGGTTTGGTGTAAAGCAGGTGATGGACCAACGTGAAACACCTGAATTTGGAGAGTGTGCCATAAACTGTTTCTTAAATAGTACAAGTGATGCAGATATACAAACCTGTATCACTGAATGCTTTGACTTCAATCCAGGGACTGTGGCTACAGTTCTGTTTGGAATTCTACAGGGAGGTATGCAAATCGGGCAGTCCTCTATGTTTGTTGAAGCTTTTAACACAGCCCGAGCAGCAGCGGGCAAAATTTTTAAAGTCATCAACAGACAATCTTTGATAGACAGCAGCAGCTTTGAAGGAATACATCCAGATAGTATAAAGGGAAATATTAAGTTTAACAATGTTTTCTTCAATTATCCCTCTCGTCCAGATGTGAAAATTCTAAATGGACTGAGTATTGATATTCCAAGTGGCAAGTCAGTTGCTTTTGTTGGGTCTTCAGGATGCGGAAAATCAACATGCATTCAACTTATCCAGAGGTTTTATGATCCTGACTCTGGCTCAATAAACATTGATGGAATAGACATCAAGAGGTTAAATGTAAAATGGCTTCGAGAAAATATTGGTATTGTAGGACAGGAACCTGTTCTATTTGATTGCACTATTAGAGAAAACATAAAGTATGCAAAGTTAGATGCAACTGATGAAGAGATATTGAAAGCCTGCAAGGAGGCAAATGCATTGGACTTCATTTCAAAGCTTCCCAATAAACTGGACACAATGGTGGGAGAGGGTGGTGCTCAATTATCTGGAGGTCAAAAACAGAGAATTGCTATAGCCCGTGCCCTGATCAGAAACCCAAAGATACTCTTACTGGATGAAGCAACTTCAGCATTGGATAATGCCAGTGAAAAGAGTGTTCAGACTGCCCTTGATAATGTTCAAGATGGTCGAACAACTATTATTGTTGCTCATCGCCTGTCAACAATTAGACATGCTGACCTTATTGTTTCCTTTGAAAATGGTCAAGTAAAAGAACAGGGTACTCATGCTGAACTTATGAAGAAAGAAGGGCTTTATCATAGTCTGGTTATGCGTCAGATGACAGGTCAAATAGAGGATTTTCAGATGGAAAACAATGAAAAGACACTTTCCAAACAATTATCCATAATGTCATCTGAAGAAGAGCAAGTTGTTTTCAGTCCTGAAAAGCCAAAAGCAGTAAAAAAATATGGAAATATTAAGATCTTGAAGAAGCTGTTTAAAATGAATAGACCTGAAACTGGATACTTGATTTTTGGATTCCTCTGCTCTGCTGCATTTGGACTTACAAATATTGCCTTTGCCGTATTGTTTGGAGATGTTTTCTCAATCTTTGTAAAAGAGCCAGAACCAGCAAGAAAGGAGGCAACTTTGATAGCATTAAAGTATGGTGCCCTAGCATTGTACACCTTTTTATGTATGCTGGGGCAAGGGTCAGCCTTCTCAGTTGCTGGAGAAAGACTAACTCAAAGGCTAAGGGTCCTGATGTACAAAGCAATGCTAAGACAAGAAATTGGATGGTATGATTTGGAGGAAAATAATTCTGGTTCTTTGTGCTCCCGTTTATCCTCCAATGCTCAATCTGTTCAAAGTGCTACTGGAGTAAAAATTGGTCAAATTTGTCAATCTATATCTGCTCTTGCATGTGGGTTAGGACTCTCTCTTTATTATAACTGGAAAGTTGGACTGGTCAGTAATGCCTTTGTTCCTATTCTTGTTGTTGGTATGCTTTATCAAATGTTATTGTTTACCAAACATTCATCTGTTCAAAAAAAGGCCCTTGAAAGTTCTTCAAAGTTTGCCATAGAAGCAATAAAGAATATCAGAACAGTAGCTGGGCTTGGTTGTGAGAACATGTTTCAAGATCTCTACAACAAGGAATTAATAAAGCCCCACAAAAAAACCTTAAAGCAGTCTCATGTTCGTGGCATTATCTATGGGTTTGCCAACTCAACATTCTGCTTTGCATATGCGGTTTGCTTTTCTTATGGAGGACATGTGTATACAGAAGATTTAGCTGAATATCCACCAGAAGGGGGACGAATCATGGAAATATGGAAAATTGGTATTGGTGTTCTTAGTGGTGCTATGATGATAGGAATGTCAATGTCTTTTGTCATGGACTTCAATCAAGTGTTTGAGGCAGCAGAAATAATATTTTCTTTACTTGAGCGAAATCCGAAAATAGATTCCAGCAGATCAGCTGGTCTACTGATACCAGAAATAAATGGCAACATCTATTTGGAGAATGCAGAGTTTTCTTATCCAACAAGGCAAGAAGTACAGGTTATGAAAAGGCTTACCATGTCTATCAAAAATGGAGAAAAGATTGCATTGGTGGGACAATCTGGATGTGGAAAGTCCACCATCATACAACTTATTCAGAGGCTTTATGATGTGGAAAATGGAAATGTTATGATGGAGAATTATGACATACGGCAGCTAAATCTTGCAGCTGTTCGATCAAAATTAGGATTAGTTTCACAAGAACCTGTACTGTTCAACAGATCAATTGCTGCCAACATCATGTATGGAGACAATGCAAGAAGTGTTACAATGGAGGAGGTTGTTACTGCTGCTCGTGCTGCTAATATTCACAGTTTTGTTGCTGCCCTTCCAAATGGGTATGAGACCAATGTTGGTGGAAAGGGCACACAGTTGTCTGGTGGACAAAAACAGCGGGTTGCTATTGCACGTGCACTTGTTAGGTATGCAATTGATTAATCTATTTAATTTATCCATATTTTATTTTTTTGTAGAAATCCAGGTATATTGCTGTTGGATGAAGCAACATCTGCTCTTGACACCGAAAGTGAAAAAATTGTGCAGGTATGCCCAATATTTCAAACATTATCTTTTCTAAATATTACAAAATAATCAATATAACTTAAAAATAGGACGCCCTGGATGCTGCACAAAATGGAAGAACATCTATAACAATAGCTCATAGACTTACAACAATTGTTGGAGTAGACACAATATATGTTATAGGTGAGTAGGATATGCATTTATTAGTTCATAGTTCAATATAGGATATTCTGCCGGCTAAGCCTAGGATTCCTTGACATAGCCAGTATTGCAGGGGATCCTTGTAATCCTAGAATTATCTGGCTGGATATATAACACAAAAGTACCAACATCAGTTGTCAAAATTAATTCATCAAAATTCTATATTTTTAGATAAAGGTCAAGTAGTTGAATTTGGATCACATTCTGAGCTTCTGCAGAAGAAAGGAGTTTACTATAGCCTCTGGAATGCCAGTGCTACACATTAAACATTTGAATTGTTTTTAAAGCGTCCTTAAAGTGTTCTTCAGTTAGTTATGCTATTAAGAGAGTTTGATCAGAAGATCTTGAAGATATTTAATTTTTCAAATTAAGAATTCAGCTAAATCATCAATTCTTAATCATCCCTTAGTTTGTTCATACTGTCGTCCATTTGTAGTCTTCTTCTCAGATTGCTGATAGTTTAGAATTTTAGCCTGTTAATTGCTCATTTGAATGCATGTATAAAGAGTATCCCACCAAACATGACAGTTTGGGGACAACTTAAATGTCGTCTTAGATATTTTGAATATTTTTTTGTAAGCTTAATTTAGACTTTTTTGTGCTTTAAAACCGCCAGATAAATGGAAAAATTCCGTTCAGATTTAGAAATTGTTTGCTTTATTTGAAAATATTGCTTAATATCTCTATTACTATTGAAATCAAACTAAGGCAGGCCACCTTTTGGAAAAACCAGGAATTTTGTGATTATGGTTTCAAGAATCATACATAAACTTTATGTCGTCTCTCAACTGACAGGTTTCTGGGGGCATCACCCTGTATGAAAATTATTTGTAAATTGAAGGAAAACTGTTAAGTGACATTTGCTTGCATTTCAAAACCAATGTATCATTTACTCTCAGAGAAATTAGAATCAATGGAAAAGAATTCAAATGTACATTTAGCAAGGAATTAAAGTTTAGAATAATTTTGATTATAAATGCTTATGTCCCTAATTATGTAAAATTACATTTAATTGCCATTTAATTTTGATAAAGTATATTTTGAATAAATGACAATGTATTGATGTGAGAGATTTTACAATATTTAGATACTAATGCACGATTCACATAGATTTGGCACAGTTTTATATCAATTTATCTTGACAGGAACATCAGATAGAACTCTCATGGGTCTCGATCAACTCCTAGAATAGTAGGTTTTAGCCTATACCCCCATTCATTTTTCCTTTACAGTCTCTTTAAGCACTTTGTAAAATAAAAGGATACAGGGGTCAGGGGGTAATTGAAACTTAAATTGTATGTAATGTACATAAAATCAGATCTTATTAGAAATCTGATAAATCTGATAAATCTGATAAATCTGATAGAAATTTACTGAAAATATGAGTTTAATTATTTTAATACTTGCGACGGGGAGGGGGCGTTATCTAATACCACCCCCCATTCACCCCCCCAATCTCTATATTTTCATAGGATTCTATAAGAAATTATAATATCAAATATTGTAAACACTGAAGGCAGTATTGATTAAAGCTTTTTTAATGAAAATTTTTTAGTCAAGGGCAAAAGTGAGATTTAATGTTTTTTTTATACGATGTAATTATACTTAAGTGGAATATATGCGTAATTTCAAGTGACCCTCCATTTATAGAGTGGCATGTCCGATGCACCTTTTAAACCTTCATTTCTCCATCGTTTCTAAAGCAAGAAGTGCACGAGTCACTATTGTAGAAAAACCACAAAAAAAAATATTCGGTTTTCAAAATGGGAAACATGGATTTTTAATGCAATACTTGATCAGACAAAGCATCCTAGGGCATTGTTGTAAATCAGAATTTGTTTAAATGTAGAATGTAGATTGCATGAGGAAGGGAAATGCAAGCAGATGTAATATTACTGTTGTTACGCAAAAACTAGTTCCTCAGCAGTCCAAAAACGTCACAGCAAAGTGTACGGAAACACAATCGCCCCCTCCTTCTATTCAATTCTCCTTGACAAAAATTATTTGGTTTAAGGATAGAATTAAAAAAATGAAATCTTCTTGATATGATGAGATTTTTATGCGAAGTTAGTTTACCCTCACCTTTGAATTATTTAAACAATCTTTAACTTTAAGTAGAGTTGTCTTTTAATATACAGGGTGTCCCACGAAACATGACAGTATGCAAGAGGACTTGAATGTCGTCTTGATTTTTGATATAATTTGCTGTGTTTATTTTTCAACCTAATTTTAGAAGTAAATTTCCAGAGATAATTCCCCTAGTCCTGCCATTTCCAAAATGTGGTCTGCCTTTTATGTGCTTTCAATATTGCCCGACATATAAAGAATTTCGTTCAGATTTCGACAATTTTGCTTTTATTTAACAAAATTGAAATCTATTTCTTCAAATTTTCAAACTTTGTAAATATGAATTTAATTAAAATAAGAAAAATTCTTTAAGTTCCAGTTTACGGAATGGAAATTTTCCAGTTTACGTTACGTAAACCGTAAAAATTTCCGGTTTACGGAATGGAAACCGGAAATTTTTCCGGTTTACGAAATGGAAACTGGAAATTTTACGGTTTCCATTCCGTAAAACGGAAATTTTTCCGGTTTATGTGACGTAAACCGGAAAATTTCCTGTTTCCATTTATACCGGAATTATCCCGGAATTCCGGTTTACGCAACAAATTTCCGGATCATTCCATTTCCAAAATGGAAATTTTTTTCCGGAAAAATGGAAACCCTACTGTTCATCTTGCGGAGACATTATAGACACATCTTTGCAGTCTTTTACCCTTTTCATTAAATAAACTCTAGCAGACATAATAATATTATGGCTTTTGAAATTAGGTATTACAGTGCTAATTCATAACAAAGACGATATCGAATTCGTCACTGAATTCCCATGTTTTTGGGACACCCTGTAATTACAATTGTACTACTTTTTTATACAGGTTTTCATTTTCAAAAATGTCTTTTACTATCTCTAGTAAAAATATCAAATTAACACATAATAAAATGTAGATTTTTTAGAAACATTTTTTTCTGCTAGTTTTGTTTGAATGAGAGATAATGTTGTACTTTACGTTCATTTAAAGTTTCTTATACTTATGCCTAATATCCAAGAAGCCAAATATTTTGAATTTTGAATTCCCTCCCCCCCCCCTAGGAGCTCCGAAGTGGGGGGGGCAAATAAAATGCTTGGCACCCCCTTACATTTATTTCTTGCAGTCTGTTCAGAACTAGAAATTAGAATAACAAAGATAAAATTATTTCAAAGTTTTGCAAAGTAGTTTTCCTAAAGTAATTTGCAGATTTTAAAAATTAGCATGTTAATATTTATATTTTATCATATATGTATTATAATATACAGGGTGTCCCAAAAAAATGGGAATTTAGTGACGAATTCGATATCGTCTTTGTTATGAATTAGGATTGTAATACCTAATTTCAAAAGCCATAATATAATTATGTCTGCTAGAGTTTATTTTATGAAAACGGTAAATGTATGTAAAGATGTGTCTATAATGTCTCAGCAAGACGGACAATGTTACTCTGTTTGTATACTGCAATTTTCTTGTTTTACTTGTTTTACTAAGTACAACCGTATGCAGTCAAATCATAAACACACAAAATGTGAACATAGCAGACGAAACTCTTACAGATTACAGCTTTCTCGGTAGGTATCACTATATTAAATCAAGAATTATTTAAAAAGACGATATCGAATTCGTCACTGAATTCCCATGTTTATTAGGACACCCTGTATGTATTATAACAGATTAAAATAAATTCAGGTTTATTTACAGATGAAATAAAAGTAGTTAATTAAAACTTGATGACTATAATGCAGGATTGTACAAGGTGAAAGGTGAAAGCAAAAGGAAGGAAAGGAAGCCTTTATTTGATAGAGTTTGTAAATGCCAGAAATGAGTGGAAAATTTTAATCAAACCCAACTAAAACCAATAAGTTGATATATATATATCATAATGGGGGGGGGGGTAAATATTTTTCTCGAGAGGGTAAAAATTTCTCGGTGGGGGTAAAAAACTTTCGGCGCGCTACAGGCGCAAATTGAAAATTCCCCCCCCCCCTTGAAAATCCTTATATAAACCCTTGAGTCCATGACAACGAGGTTATAGTGTATAGAGTGATGATGTACGCTAATCCGGCCTTTACTAATTTTATAGGCCATAAACTATACCGAGAGCGTACTGCATATATTTGTTTATTATATGTTGATTCTGGCCTAACCTATAGTATATCAATATTAGTAAACAGTTGTAAGTATACAGTACAGCTAACTGAGCACACAGGTAGAGAACAATCATCCCCCCTGGTCCATGAGCATGATTTTAGAAAGACTATACATAACGATTCGTAACAAAAATGAAAGACGACATATAAGAATGAATGTAAGACGACATTTAACAATATATGTAAGACGACATTAATACTATTGATAATGGGAGTAGTAGAAAGGCAGAGAAAGCCGGTATGTCGGCAACAGAAGGAAGACTGTTTACCAATGGTTCAGTTTATAGTTTAGCCTCTGAATATATTCACGTATTTGTCGCATATTTAATGGAATGGGGG